TTCTGGCAACTAAACAACATAAAATGACATTACATACTTTTTCTGAATCCTCACTGCTTACAATACTAGATACTAATTAATAATACAAGATTAACTAGCCAGGACAAAGTGTGGTAGCTAATTGACACAGACGATATGACTACAGACAAAAAACTACTGCAGCATGACAAATAAAATGACAAGTTGACAAAAGTATAGTACACAATAGGGCGCGTTTGGGTTGACGATCGGTGCACTCAGAGCGTGCACTTTTGTCTCTCTTTCGTTATTTTTGAAGCGCCGACAACGCTTGATTGTGTTTGGTTTGACATATTTTGAGCGCTCCGAGCGAGCTCGATAAACTCCGAGTTTGTGGAGTGGGCAGCTGGAGCGTGCATGCGCAGATCAAATGTGTTTACTTTTAATAGAAGATTTCATTATGAATGACTTTGGCAGAAAGTCGACAAACAAAGTCACATAACCTATAAATAGCATTGTCAATCTTATTAATTTTTTTTCAATTTTGGGCTTAAATTTAATAATTATGGCAGTTTTGGGAGAACGTGATATGTTTTATCGAGAGGCGATGAAGCGATGTGTGTTTGGTGATTGTAAAAGTGATAGTTGAACGAGTTCCATTAAATTAACGACCCCATTTGCCTCTACTAACCCAAACTAACCCAAACACACATCGCTTCATCGCCTCTCGATAAAACACATCACGTTCTCCCAAACCTGCCATAATTATTAAATTTAAGCCCAAAATTGAAAAAAAATTAATAACATTGACAATGCTATTTATAGGTTATGTGACTTTGTTTGTCGACTTTCTGCCAAAGTCATTCATAATGAAATCTTCTATTAGTGTTTAGGTCCATTTTATTGTTTATGTAGCACGATATTTTCAGCAGAACACAAAAGAAAATGGGGCTGTTTGAAAATTATCGACTAAAATAAAAAATAAACGAGAAAACTCTGGTGCGAATGCGGAGTGCGGGCTCGGACTCCAAAAAATATTTCCTAAAAAAATAAACAATAATCAGCTGATCGCTCAACTCAGCACTTTTGCATGAGTTTATTTGGCTTGACACGGTGTACCCCCTATGACGTCACGTTACTCCGTAATCGCTCTGCTCGCTCCGCCGAGCGTCAACCCAAACACGCCCATAGTATATTGTTATATTAGGAGTAGAAGCTTTACTTTTTTGTGCTGAAGCAGTAGGTTTGCGAGCCGAACGTAGTGAGGCTTGCAATACTGCTGAAGCACAAAAAAGTGCTTCTACTCCGTATGCAACACGCTATTTTTTCTCCAAACGAATGGGGTAAGCTCGGGGGCAACTGAATGGTTAAGCGGCAGTAAAAGTACGAGCGGCACTAAAAGTACTTTTGCTGCCGCTCCAGCGGCACTAAAAGTACTTCTACTGCCGCTGCGGTTGCCTAGCAGCATAGAAATTAAATTTCTACCACCTCGACAGGTGTTAACCCGCTGGATTTGTCTACCAGCATAGAAATTAAATTTCTAACATCTTGACAGGTGCTAACAAAGTGACGTTTTTTTGACGTTTGGAGAAAAAATAGTTTTTTCTGCTCTATAGCTTATCAGCTGACATGGGATTCATCTTGTCATATAACCTGAGAGTGGTTTCTGGAGATTGTTTAAATCCTTTTGATATTAACGTGCTCTGCAATATCTTCTGTCAGATAAATGGCAAACATTTAGCTGGGCTTGACGATGTATCCGTCAAAATAATGGTATGCTTGCTTGAGGAGGCACTTCGTGCTTTTGTTGGCTCCATTAACAATTCCTTTCTAACGTTCGTACCTTATTTTAAAAAAATACTTGTAATTCCTTTGCCTGAGGGAGGTAATGCTGATGATACCTCCAACTATCGACCCATAACATATCTAGCTCCTTATCTGGAATATCTTTTGTCAGATAAAGAACAAACATTCAGCTGGGTTTGATGGTGTATCAGTCAAAATAATGGTATGCTTCCTTGAGAAGGCAATCCATGCTTTTTTTGGCTCCATTAACAATTTCTTTAAAAAAAAAATAACTCTTAACTCCTTCACATAATGGAGGTAATGCTAGTGATACCCCCAACTATTGGCTTGCCATCCTCTCGAAGATAATCGAGAAACTTGTAAAATCAAAACTTCTTCATTTTCTAACAACATATTGTAGTATAACATACCCGGGTTCGTTCAGCAAGATTGAACGGTGTGAATTTTTATCAAAGTCTATTTATTTTTTAAAGATAATTTGCCAAGTCAAAAATTTAGTAACTATGTTAGCAACACAAGCCTTTTCTACATAAAAAATTTGAAAGCATTGACAGTTTTACATTGTATTGCCAACATAATGTCATTTTGACTTTTATCTTTAAAAAAAAAACTTTACCTTTTAAACAACAAATCTTCTTAAAAATGAAATGAAAAACAGATAGGACCTACGTTGTAGAAACTTACTCAATTTTACTTACTTGACATGCGCCCGACATAGCAAATATTAGGGAAATTTAAGGGAAGTTGTGATATGTTAAAGAAACGAAAAATGTGTGAGACGTCTACTTTATTATTAATGTAAATTGTACCGTCCTCATCCTGGAACTAACGAGGGGAAAGAGCACGGTAGAGAAACCCTCGATCTAACATTCCTCAAAAATCGAAACATACTGTGTCATTTCAATAATAATTGTGAGTCATTAATTCAATAATTTAAGTCAATAAATGTTTAAATTAGGTGGCTGTGCTAAAATTTCAATTACACACACTACATTCAATCAACACTACCTATATTCAATACTGAAGAGTTTTTCTGTTAGTTAGCCAGTTTCCTAGCAGGTACTGAGGTCCCATACGGGAAGCTACTCAGCTATAGTTGTTTTTGAGCCAATATCTCTAGATTGATTATTTCAATTTGTTAGGATATTCTCTTGTCAGGGTAGGAAAATGTTAGTAAATTCAACAAGGCCCTAATACACGCTCTAAATCCACAAATCGAAATCTTAGCACAAAGAGACAGGACATAATTTTTCTAGTTTTTTATTTACTTTTTATCGGTGTTGTTTACAGCATGAAACGATTTTTGTTAAATACATGAACAATGCACATGTTAGAAATAAATTTATAAACAAACAAAAAATACATAAAAATGAACAAAATAATATGCACTTGCATAAATTGAACTCTCAAAAACAAAATTACATTTATTCAACTGACCTGTGATTGCTCCTTGACACCCACACTAATAACAAATTGGATTGAGCAATCAGTTTAATGCAAAATAAAAATATAAATTGAATAATGAATAATTACAGACACGCGAGACGCGTCTAAGGGACCAGCCTCTGCTTGTTCTCAAGTCTAGTTACGTATTCTCTATCCCCCGTTCGGTTCGGTACATTTCTGTTGCAGCCCACTCTCGTTCTTATTAATTCCACAGAGCATTACATGGTTGCAACATTTACTTTCATTCAGTAAACGTTTTTTAAAAAGTTAAGATTTAAAGAAATAATATTTTAAATGGGTGCTTTTCGTCAATATATTCACAATACAGCACATCGTTGGTTTTTATTTTACCATTCAGGTCGCACATTGTGATGGCAGACGGAAGCAGTTTTGGTTCGTGTAAGACCATTATTTACTTGGGGTGTAACTCTCATTTTTTCTGTCTGATGTAAATAAAACTGGTATTTCATTATTCGGTTTTCCTTTGCACTTAATTCAACACTACCTATTGTGAGTTGAATGATCAAGATGCAAAAAAGTCAATTTTCAACTGTCAATATTTCCGAAACAATTGAAGATTGGTATATGACATTGTATGTGAAATATGTCTAGAATTTTCCGTAGAATCCAGAAATGCCATAATATACAGGGAGTTCCATTTAAAAAAATGAAGTTGAAACCAGCGAAGCTATTTTTGAGACACCCTGTATGATAAAAAATATATCAAAAAATTTCAAACAAAAAAACAAAATTGACGTGTCTGAGCGATTTTTCAAAAACTCTACGTTTTCAAAATAATGAATTTATGCGGGACTTTATGAACTCACTGTATATTTTGGTTTTGATGATCTAACTCTTAGAGATAAAAGTAATAGGTATATTTGCCAAGACACTGTTTTTTTCTTAAATTTTCAGTGGGTAATTAAAAAATCAATTGAATGAAAATATCTATCACATTTACCTTTTAATTAAGTCGTTTTTCGGAGGGTTATCGATGTTCTATACTTCTGTTGTAATTTTTATTTGGAAACTCTCAGCCTTAACCGCACTATAGATTGAGATATTCTGGTCTTATCTTCAATAATTATACCCATAAAATATCATTCATATTCCACACCACTTTCGAACGAATGATATAAACTTTTTAGTTTTGGAACAAATTGGCAATGGTTCAACTAAATTAAACTCCAATATTGTCTACTTCTATGTATTGTCTGTGACAAAAATAGATTAATGTCTTTAGATCTTATTTTCGGCCGGGTTCAAGGAATCTTACTAAAGACGAGGCGAGGAGAATCGATTTTCATAAGTAAAGTAAACTATTTCTTCAGCTCAGGCAGCCGTTAAAACTGTATGTGCTAGAAAATATTGGTGTAATTTTTATAATTTTTTGACATTATCGCTACTATAATAATATAACAAGGAAGCAAGGAAAAGTTCCTGGATTCTAAACTGAATTTAGTGAAATATAAGAACACATCATTTACAGGTGCTCTAAATTATTGGAATGACTTGCTTATCTATTATAAACTTAAGAAAAGGTTTGAAAGTATCATTTACTACTTCTACTTACCACCGTCGTTTCCTTCAAATATTGTATTCTTAATATCTCGACAGGAATGAGATAGTTTCCACCTCAGTGTGTACTTACCCGAGACCTTACCTACCATTTGCTGGCAATTAAAATATATTAAATTGTACTGGAAATTTGATAGTCTTGACTCTTGAGTCTCAAACATTCTCATAAATTTTATAGAATAGAATAATTTCACTTTTTTCTTATTTTTCAGGATACTGATCTCACTGCAGTTTTGAAGGCGCTGAATGACGCAGTTACTCGCACTTTTCCAATGATTAAATACACACCAATTTCCAGACAAGAGAAAATAAAAGCTTTTATTGCTGACTATTTTCCAAGAAGTGTTTATGACATGTTCTATTGATAATGTTTCAAATTATGTTCAAAAAAATTTAGGTAGGTACTTCTGTATCTAAAATTGTTAAAAAAATATTTTTTCTCCGAATGACAGTAAAAGCAGCCTTTTAATGGCACTTGACAGGATCAAAAGTTGTATTTTTACTGTCACTCTAGGCAGTAAAAGTGGACTTTAACTGCCTAGGCATTAAAAGTGACAGTGTCACAACGTTCCAGGTAATAATTTCATTCAATTTGGTATTTGAAATTGTCAAAAAAAATTAATTATTTGGATAATAACAATGAATGAAATAAATTTAAAAATGATGTCCATGTGTGAATTTGAACATTCGGAGAAAAAATTATATGTTTTACATGGCAGAAAAGCAGATTTAATGCCTCGGCTGGTTTCCTAGCCTCGGCTATGAAACGCCAGCCGCGGCATTAAATCTTGTACTTTTCTGCCTAGTAAAACAAATAACTATTATTCAATAGAGGCCTAATACTCAAATATTTGAAGTCGTGGTCAGATAACTATGATTTATTTTAGAAAAGTTTGTTATGAAATTAGGGTTTTTCAAATGTATTGGATTTTATGAAACTAAATTTTAGATGTTAGAACCTCTAGTAACGTTGGTCATTGTTTATTCTAGCTCTAGATTTTTTTTTTTTTTAAATTGCTTTTTTTAGGTAGGTACAACTTTAATTTTGTGTGTTACCCACTTCTTGTTGGATTTCAATAAAGCGTTTCCCAAAAATTTGTTTCATTAGCATCTGTATTAGATACGTTTTTTATAGGTACCTATATTTACCACTCCAAGGTAACTGATGCTTCGCGTCACATCCTACAGGTCATCAATAAAACATATAATGATTGATATTTGATTGATCAAGCCCAATACATTTTTGTGTAACCGGTTCCAAAATGAATTCTTCCAAGATCCAATTTATTTGCAAAGTAGGTCGGTATGTCAAGTCCATACAAACGGTGTCCAATCAGGCTGTATATTGAACTAGTGGCTAGTTCCAAATTTTTCTTTGATGGAAAACAACTTTACATAATTATGATTATTATGGTTTTACACGATGACCGCGAAACTTTTTAGCGTCCTCGAGATTATACTGCCTCGGCCGTAAGTGTCCCTAAATAGGTATTAGAAACCTTGCCTTTGCCTTGACATACTAGTAACGATCAATTAGTTGCTTTTTTCTAGCCGCGAGTTTAAAATGTGTCTCTTAACACTATTTTATCTTTGCATTTTCCTATATTTGAGTCGCAGGTCAAGTTTTTTCTACCTTTATTATCAAGCAGGTTGCGAGATGGAATACATATTTAGTGTTGCAGGTATTTCTTGTTCTTGTCTTGCTTTTTCTTGTTCTTGTCTTGTTCTTGCATGCAAGAACAAGACCAGAAGTGGATTAGCAAGAAATATGCAAGACAAGAAACTGATGAGCAAGAACAAGATTTCTTGTGCAAGAAATTTGCAAGAAGCAAGACTTCTTGCATAATTTATTTTCAATAATTTATTTAAGTATGTAGTTAATAAATATTAGCAAAAAATTACACAATTACTTATACTCGAATACGAAGAAGCAAATGGCCTCGCAAAAAAAGGGGTCTCAACACCATATCATGGACCAGAGCCCTACTGTGGCTTAATGAAAAGCCACATCATGAAAGAACTCAACAAATGGGAGAAAGACCAACTGTCATCATATTGGAGGCACACTCCGGGACTCCGACAGTCAAAAAGGTTTATTACCCTTTCAGCGAAAAGAGCTGATCAGCTTCTGAAGATGAGCAGACCAGACATCAGATTGGTGGTAGGACTGCTCACAGGACACTGCCTGGTAAAACACCATTTAGGGTTAATGGGCAGAGCAGAAGACGATCTCTGCAGATACTGCTCAGACGCAATAGAGACCACAGAGCACCTGCTCTGCGAATGTCCAGCCCAATTCTGTAAGAGGCTCAAATTCCTCGAGGGCGCAACACTGTCACCAGAAGAAGTGAGAAAAACTGTACCCAAATGAGAGTTACAAAGCCGAGCGTGACGACTCAGCTTCATTCAGTACCCACAAAAAAGTGTGCTGGACGCGCCTAAATAAGTTTTCACTTGAAAAATATTTTTTGAAGTTCCAAACTTGACAAAGTAAGGTCGGCATACACACACGTTATTTCGCGCGGTTTATCGTGGCGTGTTGGGATGTAGCGGTTTGCATGCGCGAAAGAACGGCGTGGCGAAAAAAGCGTCATGTTCCATAAGGCCGGCAAAAACCTGTAAAAAATCATGTGCGTGAGTGGGGAGGGCCGCACGCAATGATAGAATGGGAAGGGATTTCACACGTGCTTTCCATCTGGAATGTGGTGTCAGTACTCTAGTAAAGTTCACACCCGTGTCCATACGCCATTCCATACCACGGTTTTGAGGTTAGTACGAACTATCACGTTGAAAATCAGTACATGACCACATGCACTTTCAAACGACACGATAAATGATACTTAAGTATGATATCCCTTCCCATTCTTTCATTACGCGCAGCCCTTCTCACTCACGCACATGATTTTTCACAGGTTTTTGCAGATGACACGATAAACCGCGCGAAATAACGTGTGTGTATGCCGGCCTATAGGTCGCCATACAGACACGTTATTTCGCGCGGTTTATCGTGGCGTGTTGGGATGTAGCGGTTTGCACGCGCGAAAGAACGGCGTGACAAAAAAAACGTGATGTTCCATACACTTGACAAAGTATTCAATGAAAACTTTCAAAAATCATTTTCATTAACATTTAATTTCGTCGACTTGTCTGATGTAATCTTCTAATGTGATAAAAAGGTTTCGAGTTTTTTTTAGGAAGTTTAATCATTATTTTGAAACTTAACTTGCTCTAGTCTTTAAAAATGGACCATAACCAATGTGAAATCTATGTAGGAACTTTTTATGAAGCAAGAACAAGAAATAGCAAGAGTCTTGCAGCAAGAACAAGAAAAAGGCTTGCAAGAAATTTACAAGAACAAGAAATTGGAAATTTCTTGTCTTGTTTAGCAAGACAAGACAAGAAATAGCCGAGCAAGACAAGATTTCTTGCGACCTGCAACACTATACATATTCAAAGGGTAGCTAGCATTGCTGAGTAATGCACTTTTCATGCTTAATTAAAAAGTTTTTTTCTGTTGCAGACACGAGATGTACAAAATTCTTTTTATTAGTAGAACATGGAAACGTGCTTTGTATGCATGCTATATCAGACAGTTTTTCAATGGAAATTAATTTGTTCCGGAACATTAAATTTGAAGCGGGTTTGCTTTCGTTGTTCATGTATATTTAGCTCAGCTCCCCCATGAAACATTTCAACTACATTTGGAAAATATTTTTTTTTTACTAGCGTCTTAGTTAGAATTCGCCTCAAGGGAATGAATACCAGAGGCATCAGTTGTCTATTTGTAAAAAATCTTTCAATAAACTCCTTGTCGAATTAGGAAAATAGTTAAACCAATAATTTGAATAAACTTCAAATTAATAAGACACGCCAAAATATTATTTAGTTTATAGTAATTCATACCTATACCTATATTACCTATACCTACTTTCGAAAAAATGAAATTGGGAAAACATTATTAAACTGCTTGGTACAGACTGACCAGTGTTCCATTTTCAGCGTATACCTAGTGTTAATAAAGGACTGCTTGTGTTAGACAACAAAGTTTCGAAAAGTGAAATAGGAACTGTTCTCTCCCAAGTTCAAAGTAGCGACGAAGTAGTCATCCGGATATTTTAGTAAATCGCTGGAAAAGATGGAGAGAAATTATTCTATCACCCTAAAGGAGCTTGCAGTAGTAGGATGTATTGAGCATTAAGTATTACCACAGTTTTCTTTATAGAAGAAAGTTGCTAGTTAGAACTGAGAATTAAACTGACCTTTGAAGAAATTACAAACTTACGACTTCCAAATCAATCATAGCAATGGAAAAAGCTAGCAAACTGATAAAGAAATACCTGCTTTGAGTATGGAATAATTGAGAGACTCTTATTTTTAGACTCTTACTTGGGAAAATGGGCATTAATCAATCGAAAATTAGAGAGTCTGGAAGGAAAAAGTCTAGCATATCAAACCAGTTTCAACACGGTCCATGGTGGAAAGAGTGCTACGGTCTTTGGAGTCAATGGTTCTGGTAAAACTTGAATGTTGAGAAATGGTGCAAGATATGCGACCTCTGTGCTTTGGAGAAAGGAACTAAGACACTATCACCAGGAAAAATTAAGCATAGAGTACCTGTCTGGTTTACCCTTAGAGAGAAATGAGGTATATAGATATTGAGGGTCCTTTTCCTAAAACAGATTCAAGGAACGAGAACTTCACGGTTGCTATGCGAGTTCTAAAAAGGCTAACTCAAATTGTCAACGAAAAATAAGACTGTTATTGTAATTCAATGCTGATGGGGGTAGTTGTTTTTAGCTCGTCGACAAAGTTCAATATTGCTTTAACAGGGAGCTCATAAGCCTATGTCCTTCTGATGAGTCCAAATAAGGACGAAACGCGTAAAGAGCTCACGCGAAGGACTCACTAACTAGGGAATCTTTTCTCGGATCAGCGGATGAATTTATTACCTGGAAAATGGTTTTACAAAGGCAAACTATTAATGTTGGAAGTCGTCCTTATCTAAGAAACCGCTGACGTAACAGTAGGTACCTACCAGAGCTGGGAGTAACGAAAAAAAATCGTTACTTTAAAGTAAAGAGTTACTAAAGGTAACGCGTTACTTGGTAACTTTGTTACTTTTTGGATCGATTGAAAAATAACTGTAACTCCGTTACTTTCCGCAAGTAACTGCAAATCGTTACTTCGCTCAAGTAACAAGTTCCTATGAAAGTAACGCATTACTTTAAGAGTAATACGTTACTATGGACATAACGCGTTATTTTGAAAGTAACGCGATAGTTCCTGTCAATCAATATGTTAATTATGTTCACCATACAGATTGGCTTATCACTCGGTTTATTGAATTGTGTTTATTTGTATCTTATTAGTTTTGGAGTACTAGGGGCCGGTTTCTCAATAGCAGGGTTTAGCATAACTCCAGGGTAAACTTTGCAACTGGACACGTTTACCCTGGAGTTGAAACCAACCCGGAGGTAACGCGCTATTGAGAAACCGGCACTAGTAGAGCTTGAATTTCAAGAGGTAAAAATAGTTTCAATTAACAAAGTTTATGTATTTTCCCTGAATCATCAAAATTTGTCATCAGATAAAATGAATAGACAATGACAATATAATGTTCAATAAATAATAATTCAAGATATGTTTGAATGGAACACCTTGAATATTATAGAATTGTTGGGTTTCTCGTTGAATTCTATAGAAATAATTGAATGCTAATAATATGGTAGGTACATGAAGTATACCGATAAATTCAAAAAATCAAAAATATACAGGGTTTTTCATTAGAGGAAGCTGTTACTAATAAAATGAACGATGATTACTTATCTGTTTTATTTGATATCGAATTCTAGAGGTTTAGCGAAAGACTTGAAAAATGTGTAAATTAAGCTTTTTTCGAACTCTCAAAATTTGAACCCTACTCCTATGGAATAAAAAGTTTATCTAATAAATCAAATTTTTGGATAATCTTTTTTGATTTAGAACTTATCCTTCAACTTCCAACACTGTGAATGTTTTATGATATAGATCATAGAACAGCCAAAAAGACAACATCTCACTCTTACTTCTCTTTTGAATAATATATTTTTTCT